TTGTTGCTCCTTCAAACAACTTCATTACCACTCCTCTTATTCATCAAAGAGGTCATGAGTGATGTCCAAACATCACCAGTGTCTACAAGTTCTCCCAAGGTCTATCTCAAAAATCAGCAAATGGGGCTGTTAATATCTCTTGTTTCAAGATTGTATCATCATTTCAGTCTCTGCAGAAGACCCACCCCTGGTGGCTTAGAGACCATGGCTGTAGCAGCCCAATAGATACCTCTTATGCCATCCCTAGGGAATCCAGCACTGGGCCAGATCTGCAGCTCATGGATCAATAAGTTGGTTAGTTGATGCTTGGATCTAGACCCGTATGTGAGCCAAACCTTATCTACAGCTGTAACCAAATAAAGAGGTTTTCCAATTTATGATGTCTTGCTGGTTGCTTGGTCTTGTATGCATGGCATATCTCACATCTGAAAATGTAATGTGTGTCTTACTATCTATTTTCTATGCAATTTAGGGCTTTGGGTCAACCCAAAGAAATGTGTACTCAAACAATACAAACAGTTTGATTATAACAATGCTAGACTCATAGTTCAAGATGAATTCAGTTGATTTAAGGAGAAATGGGTATAAAAAGCAAGCCAACGTTTTATGTGAAATGTACTAGTAAGATTAGAAAATTGAACTGAATTATTATTATGTATGGCTATATCCCTATTGCAAGAGATATAAGGAGGCATGAACGTGCTAGGTTTTAAGAGTCATATCATTTTATATATTCATAGACACTTGGCAGGTAACATTCATAAGAGGAGTGTCCTTATGCAGTTAGTAACAAAAGTCAGCTGGATGTGATGAATTTCTAGTAATGCTGTGTTGAGGAATGAGAGCATGAATTAGTTTTCCATAAATGATACAAGATGAAAAATATGTTTCAAGGAAGACCAGCAATAGATATTTGTGATGACCAAGAAGAAAGTTTACAGCAGAAGGATATGGTGTAGTAAGAATGATTAATATAATACTAGAAAAAAAATGTAGTATAACTTGGTACATCGGTGCACATCAAATATAGCAGAAAAAAGATTCAGGATTATGAATGATGAAGACTGATTTATGTACAACAGTAAGGAAGAGAGCTCTATCAGCTGTAAAACAATACCCTTAGCTCCAATGTAGGGTTTAAACTGACCTCCATCTTGAGGTCTGACCTTTGGAAATACATATTTAATGCTAAGATAACATAAATACAATTTACAACTCTGTTTACTTTAAATGCAAAGAGATGTTGTAGCACCTTTGAGACTGAGAGAGAATTGGCAGCAGAAACTTTCGTAGACTTAGGTCTACGTCAAATGCATGGCAGTATTTCAAACATTTCTTCTAAGACAGAATTTTTTTCAGTCCTTATTTTTTCAGCTGTGTCTGTGTTTGCCCATTTTATTCCACTAAAATGGTCTCTTTCAACATTTGCTATGATTTCTTTCCACTCCTAATATTTTTCCTTAGCAAAATTGCTTCTACTATAGGAATCAAACAGAGTGATCTACAATTATGTATATGTACTAGAATGTATATTTTTAGTGGACAACATGCTTATTAAGTTGTGTAAAAAAAATCACAGCTTCCCTTTTCCACAACAGAAAGAAAATCATGGTGGCATATGTGGATAATTGAAAACTGAATATGAGCACATTTCTTTATTATCAAATAGATGCTTTTTGCTTATCCAGAGATATGCTCTATACCAGTGGTTCTTAACCTATGGGCCGTGGACCACCAGTGGGCTGCGAATACGAAAATCTGGTCTATGAGTCTCCTTCCCCTTTATTTATTTTATTTTATATATTTTATTTTATTTCTGCTCCTTTCGCACCACCTGCCCCACCTTCCCTGTCGCTGACCATGGCATATGTTCTGAATCAAAAAGTAGAGTTGATATGTGGTCTGTCTAATGCAATTTTCTAAATCAGCATCCCAAACTGAATCTTAAGTTGACAAAAAACTGATTCGTAACCCTTTTCATGCTAATGTTGGAGAGTGGTCCCAAGACAAAGTGATCCCTTGTCAAGTAGTCCCTACTCAAGTGGTCCCTGCTCAAAAATGGTTGGGAACCATTGCTCTATACTCAAAATAGAGATTGGTGATATTTGTCTTATGTATATGTTTGGAGAATTAAGTAAGTAATTAGATCCATTTTAATACACAGATAATAGCCTTGGCATATTTGACTCACTCATTTTACACTTTTCCAGACCACCTTTAAAACTTTTTTACCAACAGAATGTACACATATTTACCATTCACACACACATATATAGGAACCTATCCCTTTGTGCAAATATTTTGGAAAATGACTGTACTGTTATTGTCTTGCAAAGGTCATATTAAAATAGGATATGTTTATACAAGTATATATGACACAAGAAGATGGAATGTCCAAGTTAGGATTAGATACTGTTAGATCATATATGATGTTAACAAATGTTCTGAAACCTAACTAATGTTTTTTAATGACTAGTGAAGCAGAAAAAGGTTATTTTAGACCTTAAATATCAGTGCTGCACCAGCATGCGAGACTCGCTCTTATTTGCATGTATTCGTATATTTTTAAGTCAAGAAATTCCATAAATTTGCACATAGATGTTATTATTTGTATCAGATACTAATATGATAAAGATTTATGGAAAAGCTAGATGATTTGAATTAGATTCACTAGACTGAATGCTTCAGGCTGGGAATATGGGAAATTCTAATAGACTTTCATGCATTGGTAAGACCTGAGTCAGCATTGCAAGGGGGTTTCTTTTTCCTTTCAAGGAGGAGACATTTAAAAATTGGGGATTCATTTCAGGTGTCTTTTTAAGCATTATCTGTTGTTCTTCACATATGTTGATAATATTACTAGCTCGAGTTGATGTATTTGCATGCTTGCAAACAATCTAGTATATGTAAATAACAAGGAAGGCAATCCAGAAGATGTGCATACAGAATTGTTTATACTGAAAAAGTTTTCAAAGTTTATGATAGAAGTGTTACAAAAATGGGAATATGCGTCTAATCTGGCTATTGCCTTAAATGGGAATATGAGCCTAATTGGGCTACACCCCTACAAAATTATAGAGAACAAAAAAGGTGATTATGATGTAGAGAATATGAAAGCAGCAGAAAAGAGATATCACTAGCTGCAGACACAAAAAAAGTGTTTGAAGACTTAACTGTTGTACTCCATCAAATTGCTCGTAACTTACTTCTACCTTATCACTGGGTTTTCTGGGCAAGATTTGTCTTCTTCTGGTACTGAAAGAATGTGACTTGCCCAAGGTCATCCAATGGGTTTCTATAGCTAAGAGGGAATTTGAACCTTGGTCTCCTAGTTTGTAGTGCAAGTCTCCAAACCAGAATTGTAACCTAATGCTCAAACCACTACATCACACTGGCTGGAGAGTATCATGCTGTCTTTATGAGTGATATATTTCACAATTTCTGGATACCTGAAGTTTCATGTGTGTTCATTCATGTGACTATCCTACTCCATTTTTACACTAATCCATATTTTTAATCTTTTTAGTACATTCTTCATCTTCATTTTATCCCAGTACAGGAATGCACATTTTGAAATTATGTGCAGAGTGGTCGCTTTAGTGTGGGACTAGACCACTTGGCCATGCAAGCCTACTATGTGCTCTTGGGCAGGTCACTCACATAAAATTCAATATACATATGCATTTCATGTGCATTTTTCCTAAAATAGTGTGCATTTGTACTTTTCTTTGTTAGAATAAACATATTATATGTACTTTATCACAAAACACACCTCTAAAAGGACATAATTTTAAAGACAAAAGCTTTTCTACCTCCTTGTTAATTTAGGATAAATGAATCACATTCACTTCCAAATGCAGACCAAGAAATCTTTTGAGCATCCTGGTATTTCACTACCTTTATACATTTCAATGCCTTTCAGTTGAATGGTTCAGATTGATTTTGTCATATCTTCATATTATTGCCATCTTTCCAAGTGAATTCCAAGTTGCTACAATAACACAGTATTCTAAGATCCATTTCAGCCACTTCAGCTTAGCCTTTCTCACTCTCTCGGATTGGTGATAAATTACCATCTGTTGGCAACAATTGTTTGATCTGTGGGTTGTATGTCTTTCACTAGTGACTAGATACACCTGAACACCAAGGCAGCTTCTTAAGTTTGAATCTTCTGGCATCATTTATTTCACTTCCCATTGCCCATCAAACCTAGTAAATGACATTCACTAATCCTTTTTTGAAAATGCGCACAAAGGATTGAAGGATTGAGTAGTCTTTGGAGACTTCTTGTGTCTCCATGTGTGTAATAGGTCCAGTCAAGGAACTAAGACCTGGCTGTAGGAGATGGAATGAGATTTCATTATATATACATGTTTTCGCCTGCTCTCTAAAAAAGAATAGATAAGGGGAAAATTATGTAATACAGATTATATCAGTGTTTAAATTAAAATCGTATGTTTCACTGTGGCAGCTATAATCCTTTGATTACTGAAGAGTTCACATTAATAGAGTTTATTCTAAATGAATACTAACAAATTGCTTTTGTGCAAAGATAATTAGAAGTACATGCAATAAATCTGTATACAACAAGCTCTCTCTTTCTCAAGACTGTCATAATTTTAAACTTGTTCCTTTTGACTATTCTTAAACCAAAATATTTATACTATAACTGTGGATAAGAATTTGAATGTTTAATGACATCTATGAGTATAATTAAGGTAGGTTTAAGATATTAGGTTATAATTGCTGTGCAGGTATAGATAGCTAAATTATATACAGCTTTGTTAAACGGAATTCATTTATTTTGCTTTCTGCCATGTTAAAATCATGATGCATTATATTAAATTGGGCAGTTTAAGTGTAGTCTTCACTGTTATGTGAAGCAATTATACAAAAACACATTAAATGATTTTGAACTAATTTTGGTATCAACAAAGTCTTTGTTTATCTCACAATGTGGAGAAGTGTTAGTACAATTATATCTTCTTCTTCTTTTACAGCATCTAAATACTTATCTGGAAATATCCAGAGTATTGGGAGATTATATTGGTATAGGGAGAGCATATCAAGCTTTAGCTGAAGTTCTGGTAAGGTAAGTTATTGTATTCTTGTCTTGCTGTGAAAGATTTAAATTTGTAAGTATTTGTTGCTTCCTATTACTTACTGCTTAAAGTTCAAATAATGCCTTTATTTGACCTTTTAATTGTAAACTATATACGTTAGGATATCTTCTCAGTTCTGCTGTCAGAACATTTCTGTGTAAATGATCATCTCCCCTTGAGGTATAAAACGGTATTGAAAGGTGCATTGTGTGTTTCTGCCTTTCAGAAAGCTTGAGTCATGGCTGAAAAACTACCAGCCTGCTGCATCTTTCAAGTTAAAAACAGAAAGCACAGAAAATTACAACATGCTTCAATAAGCGTGCCACAGTGTAACCTTTCTAGAATTCTTCTGTAGAAGAATGTTTTATTTTCCTTTATTTTATTATTCTACCCACTTCTCCAGCAAAACACATTTAGTATAGATATATTGTCATCAAAATGATAACCTGAAAATAGGAATTTGAGAACAAAAATCAGAATGCACTTTTGATTGAATGCAGAGTTTGCTGGATTTCAGAGAAGCCACTAAATAGCACTGGGGCTTGTTTGTCAGAATAACCAAAACCTCTAGTTGGTAAGGATTTTGCGCAAATAGTACAAAATCTGGATAAAGTCTATTCAAGCTTGGTGGAAAATCATTCATATAGTCAAATGTTCTGTCGGGATAGAAATGTGATTAATTTATACTGGCTTTGCGTGTTAAATCATGTGCGGTCATTGATCCCAGAGTTCATCATATTCTGGATAGTATGCAGAGGTTATATACAGGGGTTGCCAAACTGTATAGACATTTTAAGGCATGTTATCTATGTATTACTTTTCAAAGTTCAATTGAATTACAGTAGCAATATGCAGTATGATGTTTCCTCAAAAGGTAGCATTAATCAAATGAATGATAGCATCACCATATGACAGGTAGAACAGTTGAAGAAAATGGCGGAAATGTATGCTCAGCGATGCAAATGGACACTTTGGTCAGCGTTTCTCAAGCAGTAGTTCAACATAATCAGAAGTGTCTGGACACTGATGGTAACCCTTTTGAGCACCTGTTATAATCGCAGAAGTCAAATGTGACTTTAATATCACTTCAATATAATAATAATAATAATAATAATAATAATAATAATAATAATAATAATTTCTTTATTTATACCTTGCCACCATCTCCCATAGGGACTCGAGGCAGCTCACAAAGTACACAATGGTGCCATACAACATAAAATACAATATAGTTAATAAAGCCAATAAAACCAGACATATAAAGTTAACAAGAGCAATGAAATCAATAAAATGTGGTAATAGCTGTTGATTAAAAGAGCCATACAATCAATTTAGCCTTCCCTGACTAAAGATAGTAGTCTGGCTGCTATCTTAAACATTATCAAAGATCTGCAGAAAGAATCAGGGTTTTTAGCTCTTTCCGAAAGTTCTATAGTGTGGGGACTTGCTTAAGTTCCCTGAGCTAGGGGGCACCACCAAGAAAGCCCTGTCCCTCATCCCCACCAACCACACTTGAGATAGAGGCAGGACTGAGAGAAGAGCCTCCCTGCCAGATTTTAGAGCCCACTCTGGTTCATAGGGGGAGATGTGATCATGAAGATAGGCTGGACCCGAACCATGTAGGGCTTTATAGGTGATAAGCTGCACTTTGAATTGGGCTCATAAACTTATCAACAGCCAGTGGAACTGCTTCAATAGGGGTGGTGTGCTCCTTATAGTTAACCCCAGTTAGTAACCTGGCTGTTGATCTTGGCACCAATTACAATTTCCGAGGCGTCTTCAAAGGCAGCCCCACATTGAGTGCATTGCAGTAATCCATTCTAGATGCAACTAAGGCATGAACCATTGTGGCAAAGTCAGGCTTATTGTGGTATGGTCGCAGCTGGCACACAAGTTTTAACTGTGCGAAGGCCCTCTCAGCTACCACTGACACCTGAGCATCAAGCGTCAATGCTGAATCCAGGAGGACCCCCAGATTGCGGACCTATGCTCTCAGGGGGAGTGTAACTTTGTAAAATGAGAATTGTAAATGACAAAATCTGTGTTTTGAAGATGATGATTTATATTCTGCTGTTAGCCAGGATGCAGGGTCTGTTTAGCTGTATAAGTGAAATATAAAGTGAAACAAATTGCTACTTTAAAGGGAAGAAAGTTTGTTTATACAAAGCAGATGATAGTTTGATTGTGCTGTTTGTTTAGGGTTTGTTCTTTGCGTAATCATTTTGTAGTCCTCTTTAAATCTCGGTAGCAAAGTTTTATTCTCATGGTAGAAATAATGCTCTGCATCCATATTTTGCCTTTTGATTATAGATCAAATTAATTCCTTTTTTCCCTTCTTTTCTTTAGAGAATTGCTATGACCTAGTAACTTTCCTATTTTTCATGAGTGAAATATAGGATCTTGCTCTGCAATATTTAAAAAATGAGGAAAAATACATCAAAAACATTTCTATTAATTCATTACATTAAGAAAACCTTTTTACATTTTCTCTTGTCACTGATTCCATTTGACTTATTACTTTCAGCCTCTAGCCCACAAACTTGGTGGCACAATCAACAAACCCCTCAGTGGCTGTTTCATCTCTCCTCTATTTGATTTCTCCACTCTGAGTAAATGATTAAGATTTCATGCATTGGTTCAACCAAAATCTATGTTCACTCAACCACATCCTTTATTGATTACTTCTACTGCAAACAGTAGGCCAAGTGTGATATACATAATTGGACAGTTGTCAAGGGATGTGGGTGTTAACAGTCCTGTTTTCCCAGTTGGAAACTGGAATCACCTTGATACACAAATATTCTGCACAGTTTCATTCTCATTCTTTGGACCGAAGAGTACTTTTCCTCAGAATATATGTTTTTAACTCTCTAAGGTCTGGTTGAATGAATTTAATGATTATACCATATAATATGCTGTTCAAGTTGCACCTGTGCACTGCATATAGAAAACTAGAAAAACTGGAATTAATATTTGTCTAACATTTTAACCTTGTCCTTTAACTTATATAAATCATTTCAGCTCTTCTTTGTGGAAATGTTTGATTTTCTCCTTTTTCAAAGAAAAATAGGCCTCAAAATGTGACTCTTATTTTAAACCTTAGAAACCCTTTGACATGTGGTAAATGTTTGCAATGTACCTTGCATTCTAATAATGTTGGATTTCTGCCTTTTCCAAATTGTAAGTAAATAATCTGTTGTGCTTATACATTTTGTTTTAGTATGTTATAGTCAATTTTTTATTCTTAGGATAATTACAGACTACAGAATTAACACTTCAATCAGAAGGGTTTTCTTCTGAGTAGACATGATATTGTGCTCTTAAGATGGTTTATCAACTTGTTGCATTAGTTAAATAGACTTAATCAAGGAAATAGATCATAATAATATTGTAGTGTCCACCAATTGCCTCATTGTTTTGTTGTTGATCACATATGTAATTAAACAACACCTGCATGCCTTGTTTTGGGAGACATATTTCATATACTGTATATAATTTTTGCCTTTTTGCATATATAAGTCAGTCCTTTTCTGCATAAAATTAACACAAAGCTTATTATTTAACACAAAAAGAAAACCGTTCCTTGTGTTATTCTGAAGAAACTTTTGCTCCTATACATTACTATATTAGGCTTGCAGGTTGTGTCTCACTTGTGGCTTGACATTTAGTTTTCTGCACTACCACATTAGACACTCAAGCTCACAGCTAATATTAAGGTCACCTGCCATGACACAAACTCAGAAAGAGAAAGTGTATGATGTTTCGCTCACAAAGAAACTTGAGCATCTGGCCATGTGCTGTAATGGTTCAGATACTGTGTACAGAGATGCTTTGTTGTTAATATCGCTTGCTTTATTAAAAAAATGTGCAAATGTCTTATCAATGTGCAATGGCCAATATTCAGCTTAGTTTTGGGAATGACCTCAGGTTGTGTATATTGAATTGGGAATTGGAGGTGACACCTGCAATCCAGTGCAGATATGGTAGGTAGTGTGACTCTACCAACCCTTGCCATACCCAGATAAAGAGCATAATTATGTCTTGAAGAAGGCCATCATGTTTATGAGTGTCATTATTTTTGGTAGTTGCTGTGGCCTGCAATTATTCTCTAATTCACAATAATACAGTTACAGAACTTTATTCTACAAACTTTGATGCACAGACTGATCAATAGACTATCAACTAAGTTATGTTATAATGAATTTTCTTATTAAATGTAATGGTGGTTTTTTTTTTCATTTATTTTTAGTCTGGGAGAAGTGTCAACAGCTATTACATACTTGGAAAAGTTCATGAATATTGCCAAAAGACTACCACTGAGCCAAAGTTTAGTGGATGCGTGTACATTCCTTGGAAGTATTTACAACGCACGGGTAAGTATTAGTTTGAGAAGTGATATCTGGGCTAGAATTAAGTTTTTTGTAATCTGTATTCACATATGAAAAACCTAGTCGTTTGTAAGTAAATATAGCTAAATTATAGCATTGCACGAGAAAATGTCCACAGGCATCAAAGAGACTTTCTATTTTCTCCCTCTCCAACACCTATGCTGCCCTAAAATCTGTCCCAGGAGATTCCTAAACCTTCAGAGTGCTTGGGGACTTGCACAGAGCAGGGGCAAAAAAATAAAACCACTTCTCCTTGATTCTGCTAATGGAAACAATTCCATGCATGATACTATGTCATTATTTTCCATCCCATTATCTGCTGTTCTACTACAACTGTTGGAGATTATACCTCCTATTTTTTTATTCCTTGTTATGGTGGTAGCAACCTTAGGAGTACAGTGGTAAAAGTAGTGATTTTAGCATTCTTGATGATGTGATGTTGATTCCAGCATAGCTAAACATATTTGGTTAAATATACATTTTTTATTAACGTGAGCAGCTGAGTTTCACTTAAGTAGCTGCATTTGTGCCAGCAAATTAATGGATAGGAATGGGATACTGGCAATTACATCGGCCTAATGTATCCACAGGATGGCATTATCTTAGTATAATGGCAGAAATCTGTGACCATCAAGGACTTATTCCCTAGTGCCAATTTATTTGATCTATTTGGAACTATTAAATATTATGATACAGTTTCAGATATGACTGAAAGCTTGTCCAGTGTGAGTTCATACTGCAGTGTAGTGAAGTTAAAGTAGGTAACCTTAGAAATGCAGTTATCTATTGTGCTTATTCTTTGAAGAGACTGAAATATAGAAGCCTAGACAGTGTGAATTTATGAGTTTCTTCCTTTGTTTTAGTCAATTAGTCAATTTTTTATCATGATATAATAGTTAAAATATTTTAAACATTTTTCCAATACCTGTTCAACAGAGACTTTCAAATAACACCTCATGTTATGTTTCAATTTTGTCTAGGTTTTTCTTCAACTTTGGGTCAATTAAATACTCTGAGTAGACTTTTAGATTCTTTTAATGTATTTGCAAATCTAACCTAACTCCAGTGCTAGGTATAAAGGCACGTCGAGTGGCCAAACAATAACTGGACAGGGGGTAAACAGATCCCACCAACTGCCAGCAATTATATAGGCTCCTTTATGGCTGTCTGGGCAGGGGGTCAAACAATCCCACCACTGTCCCTCCAATATAAAGAATTTACACCACTTTATAAAGACTTCACTGGCACCTATATAACGTTTGAGGGGATGTCTCTCTATTTAAACTTTCGCTGCCACCATAAACTAAATGAACAGGAACCCTCTAGCTGGTTAAACTAAGAAAAGGCTTTTTAGACCACCAAGTACTGTGTCTTTTAAATGGCTTCTCTGAAGGAAAACAGGTGAGGTTGAATGAAAAGAACTATAGCCACAAATGGCACATGACTCAGGCTTAAGTTTCAAAAATAACAAGAAAGGTTTATTGAATAGAAGTTACAGAAATGACGTGAATGCAGTTTGAAAGGCTTGGCTGTTACAGTTAAAAATGATCTTGTTCTTAAAAGCGTAACGGTTGCATGAGAGAATGGTTCTTCTTGTTACAGTTCCTATTACAAAAACCCAGCTATTTCTTCTCTAAAATAGCTGTAACCCAGTTTGCCACAGCCTAATTCGCTGGCAAACTTCAGGCAAACTGCCTATTCTAATCACGAACTCCTAAAAACTTCTGTAATCCTGCTCTAACTCTAACATCAACAGACTGACTGACTAAAAAACTTCTTTCTTTCCCTCCAAACAGTCTAACTCCGCCCCCCTTTAATAAACCAATCCTGGCTGCTCTAAGGCTGGCTCAGGCCTAGGCCACTCCCCCTCTCTGAAATGGAGCTTTCCCTAAACTAAAATGGCTCCTGCTGCCCTCTGCCAGGCCTTCTAAGGCTGAAACTACCTAGCCTGCCTCTCCTAGGCCCTGCTACCCAGGCTGGTGTGAAGATACCCAGGGATCTTCACACTAGGCATAATAGGATGATATACTTGAATGCACAATAAGTTTAGCTTGCATTTGTAGGATTTGGAAGGGGCCCCTCCTTCTTATTGAAAGGGATGTTACTTTTTAAAAAAATCCTCCTTTGCCTGATAGCCCCCAGAACTACTGACTTTCTGGGTGGCCCTCGAAGCCTCCAGAGCATTTTTTCAAGAATATTAGTAGCCACATGTTCCCTATCTACATCCTTTCTGAATCTACTGCCTATATGTAGAAGGCCCCTTGTATGAATAAAATATATATTTTAAAAAAAAATCTGTTCCCCTTTCTTAATTTTCACCCATTGTGTTCTTTCTGCGCTGTTGCCCATATAATTCAAGAAGTTCCCTCTGTCATCAGAAGCAACTTAGTAATTTGTGGGTTGGAGCAGTTGAGGGAAAATATAATCAATTGAGGAAGCATCCCTCTGAATTCAACACAATGTAAGAAGCAACTCTTTTGTAGACACATTTTAAGAATGATCTTCACTTCTTCTACCTAGATTGGGAATGCTTATTGTACTTGCATTTATCAATGCAAGTACAATGCAAGCCTGAGTGTTGGACAATGACTCTAGGAAATTAGAGTTCAGATTCTCATTCAGACATGAAGACCAACTGGGTGCCCTAGATCAAGTTATACTCTCTTAAGCCTAAGAGCAATGGCAAATTTCTTGTGAATGAATCTCACCAAGAAATCCCTATTATAAGCGTGTCATAAATCAGAATCCATCACATAATAGTCACACTGTTTATCCCCCTCCCTTTTTTGTGTGGATAAAACTGTCTTACTATGAGACTAAGAGGAGGAAGGAAGAAGAGCTTAGAACTTGCTTAAACTTTGAGAGGGGAAGGAAGTATGGAGAGCTTGGTGGTTGCTTTGTTTAAAACTACCTGCAATGATTACTGTAGGAAAGAGGTGGGAAACAATTTTGGTACCTGAAAAAGAGGGGGGTGCACTGATTATGTAGTGCTGACTATTATGCAGTCAAATATGGTAGCCATAGCTGAAATAATTAATATATTTTAAAACAGTGGGTTTTGCAGCCAGCATAGTTTTTTAGAATCAAAATTTGAAGGGCATTTCAGAAACTGAAAGGATAGCCATCAAGAAAAATCAGCATTTTGCAAGGCTTGCTAAGTAATGTGGGCTTTTATGAAGTACAACTGAAGCATTTGCTGCAGAGTCCATTTTGAGCTGTGAGGAGAAGCGGGTAACAAACTATTATTGCTATTGTTATTACTGTGTTTCCCCAAAAATAAGACATGCACATAAAATAAACCGTAGCAGGATTTCTAAGCATTTGTGCAATATAAGCCATACCCCGAAAATAAGATATAATGATAGGTGTGGCTATGCAGCATACCGGCATGGAGTGGTAAAGAAAACGAGCAGCCCATTGTGACAGTTGCTATCTCAAAGAGGTGTGGGCAGCCCCATCAACAAGGTCAGCTCCCCCGTCAGGTCCTGGTCATTTTGTGTGTGCTGCAAACTGAGGCATAGAGGGAGACATAGAAAGTGGAAGTAAAAGTCTCCTCAGTGAAGTGAGGAGCAGGATGCTCTGCTTTAGGTATTGTGTCTCCTCAGGGGAAAGAAGACGTCTTAACTACATTTGAACAAGTGTAGATTGTTATACCATACTTAATAAAAAATAAGACATCCCCTGAAAATAAACCATAGTGTGTCTCCTTGAGGAAAAATAAATATAAGACAGTTCCTTATTTTTGGGAAAGCACTTGTACACACTGCATGTGGCTAATAGTTTCATGTAAATACCTTTCTACAGTTTTGAAAATGGCAACAGTATACTCATTGTACTGAATTTTTCTTTCAAAACACAATCAGGCTTAAACTTCAGCAAGTCTCAAGACAAATCAGACTACCAATCCTAATTTGATGTATGTTTCATACATATTTTGTATATTTAAGAAGGTGTTTCCTTGAAATTTACTCCTTTCAACATAAAGATCATGGTAGAATATTTTACTGTAAAGAATAGGGATTTGGCAGTTCAGTAAGGATTACTCATCCCATAAATTCATCTCTTCCTTAAGGTGCGTAGCTGTTTTGGGAGCACAGTCTGTTTTTGCAAGAGGTTGAGAGAGCCTCTAGACTGACAAAGTCTCCCATCTTTCTTGTGAAAAAGAGGTCATTCCACATCAATAGTATCTCTTATAGGTCACCTTAAAGGTAATAAGCTGGGATATTGTGTAACCCCTTTTCTTCTTTTTAAGGTTCTTTCCATTTTACATATTAGAAAATGGACCTAGTGAGGTAAAGTTGGGTGCCACAGTAAATGTTATACTTTGTCACTCCTTTAAATGTGATCAACAATTTATTTGCAACATCTTAAAATCTGTAAATGTAGAGTGAAATCTAAAAATCTGAAATATTTAAATACTAGAGTATATCTGTAAATTTATTTTATTAGGGGAACTACTGCAAGGCTTGTGAATATTTTGATCAGGCATTTGCAGGAGCAAATGCTCTTAACAATTTCGCTCTGCTGAATGAAACAAAGGTATATTGTGGCATTGGAAGAGCTCATAACCTGATGCTGAAAGTTAACAGTCGCACAGAAGCTGCAGATCACGTCAACATCAAGTACCTGCTAGCTTGGAAGGAAAACAGGAGTGACATGTGCAGTGACCCTTTTACAGTTGGTAAGACACTAGTTATGAAACACATTAGTGTTGCATTGTCCTTATGGTTAAGTCATTTTTCTTGTATACTTTTATTAAATTATTTGCTGAGTTTAATCCTATTGGATTAACCTTGTCCAGTATGGAAGTCAGATTTGATACTTTGTGAACGTTTGTTAATGTATTAAATGGGCTATGTAAAAATAGAGATGAATATACAATATATATCTGACTGGAAGCTTACTCCCTTTCACTTCAAAAAATCATTGCAATGTCAAGCTTGGAAAATATCTGGTTAAATGGAGCACTCATCAGTTAAAAATTAAAAATGATTATAACACTATTGTTGCAAGAAAACATAAATGTAATATTTCATTTGTTTTGATTCTGTAATGCTTTCCTTTGCATCCTTAGCTTGGTAGATGTAATCCTATTAACCGAGAGTATTTTGTATCCATGCTTATATAGCATCACATCAGAAGAGAAAATTGAAAAGAGCTTTATCTCATTAATTCTGTGGAAAGCCAGAGGGCCCAGGTTGTTCATCAGTATGCTAGAAGTTAATGCAACAGATTTTGCATTGTGAGCTGTGATCTTTTTCTTGATATCTATAGAAGACCACATGCTCACAGATGTGCAACAGCATTGCATTATTTTACCTTTGCATCTCAGCTAAACTGAGGCATTTCTATTAACAAAGTAATTATCTGACAGTTCTTTTCTGTATAAATTGTTATTGTGATATATGAGGAGGGAAACAACATAAAATGTGTTGTCAAAGGCTTTCATGGACAGAATCACTGGGTTGTTGTGAGTCTTTCAGGCTGTATGGCCATGTTCCAGTAGCATTCTCTCCTGACGTTTCACCTGCATCTGTGGCTGGCAACAACATACAATCTTTGAAATTTAGCAATCAAAGTACACGTATTATTTCCCCTGTCCCGCCACTTCCCCATTCCCACCTGTGAATCACCACCACCCATGACTTCCAACACCACACCATAAGAACTAGTATCTAACAAAAATCTGTTCTTATCAGTACACTAATAAATCCCGTGTCTGCTATTTCAAAATCTGTTTTTGTCTTCTTTTTAAAATACACTAAAGAAGAAGTTCTCAACACATTGTGTTTAGAGAAAATGTTTCTTATGACCATAATCAGAAAGTTTCAGCCTCATATGTTTTTAAATAAGAAATAAGAATTGGAATATATATTGAATCAATGTAAATATCCATGTCATGGTAGGTGGGATTTCTTAATAAAAGGTAACTATTAAATTATGCTTAAACTTAGATATGCATAGCTGTGAGATCAATACATTGGAAAAATTTTCATTTATCACATATGATGATAACTAATGCAGTGACATCTTCTCTGGGGCATCTGCTCTGTGTGAAAAGGACATGGTTTAGGAAGGAGAAAAGGGGGAAATGACAATTGGTTAGGTTTTTTTCTTCATGCTTTCCTCAGACCTTTCCCTCATTGTGCTGTAGAATGAAAAGGTGACAAAAAGGAAACAATCTGATATTGCATTTAAAACAACTATTTTATAGCAGTCAGTATTTAGTAAACAAACAGATGATAAAGACGAAATTGAACAAAGTAATCCTATTTGGGGAATCAGTATTCAATACTTTATCAGGGTTCTGAAACAACCCAGGTAAAACAACCTTGTAGAAGGCTTGTAACTACAAACCTAGGAAAATGTTTAATTAGTTGATAGGACTTCTGAATAGACCTAGGATAGTGCCATGATAAATGTTATCATAAACATTTTCAAACTGGAGTCCACTTACTCAGATGCATGAAGCTTTAATTTTATGAGTTAGAGTGATATGCAGTGTAAACAGTGGCACCGAATAATAATGAAATGCAAAAAGCACAGCTTGTTAACAATTGAGCTAAGTGCCTGGTAACAACAAAGTTATAACTGTTATATATTATGGCCCAAATCCTGAAAATCTCAAAATAGTTTGAAAGATCCACAGGAACACCTTTATAACTTCCCACTCTCCACCATTAAGACTTGTGATTTTGTTGTGATAACCCCCCAAATGGGCCTTCCATGGCTGGAGGGTAGCAGGGAAAGGCTTGTAGAAGTATCTGGTTATGGCAAGTGTCTTGGCATATGATAGCATTGATTTGCATTAAACTATAGGGCATAGCCAAATGCTTTTCCAATACCCTGCACTTTCCACTGGCCACAAAATGGCCATTCAGATGGTCTTTCACAGCATTGGTCATTGTGGAGGATGGAAGAAAATACAAATCTCTGGAATGACAAAAGAAAGACTTATGCAAGTATAATGTGAAATCATGCTTGTGTACATCACTCACAGGATGCCAGCCAATATGAGCTTACTTCTTTCTTCTATCCCACTTGGCACAATCTGCAATCTTATAGCCCTTTTAGACATGGCTAAAAACCCAGAGTAAACGGGATAAAAGGGGGGGGGGCTTAAAAGGTTTAGCCAAAATGAAGGTGGAATCAGGTTAACAACTGAAAAGTACATGATAAAAAGGTGCGCTTAAAACTCAATTCCACTCAAAAATGTGTCCCTTCGCATGACTGCATATGCTAGCAGTCATGCCAAACACCTGCTTTCCTTTCCTTCCCTTCCCCCTGTGTGGACTGCTCTAGTGCATGTGAACATTTTAAAAGCCTGAACCAGCTGATCGAACTGTCAAAAAATGGAGCCACAGACACACAAGTGACTCAAGGGAAGCACAAGTGGAAAGCAATTAGAACTCTCTGAAACCATTCCTTTATTTTGATCTTTATAATGTTAAAGAAGGATTGAATTTAGAGGTGGGTGAGGAAAAAGAATAAAAAAATCTGCTTGCATGTACATTAAGATATTTGCATGTGTGCATATGAGCTTGAGTGTATCTCAGAGAGAATTAAAAAACAATTCTCTGGATGTCCCTGTCCACCCTCCATCTTGATCCACTTCAAAAGAAGATGTGATTACAGTGGGAGAGCATTTCCTGGGATTGTGTGTGGATCTGCTGTCAGGTCCTGGGATTTTCCACCCCCAGTTTTAAATCCCGCTTTTTGGTGCTTTTGAAGCACCCCTAGTAACATAGGAAAGTGCCTTAAACAAAGGCTTCTTGTACACTGCCATATAATCTATATTATCAAAGTAGGTCATCAACATTATGTGCTTTGTATTGGATTATATGAGTCTATGCTGCCAAGTAAACAGTTCAAAGCAGATAATCTGGATTTTATATGGCAGTGTAGAAGGGGCCTAAATCAGATTTTTGGTTCTTCTACCTCCGTACTGTAAAAAACCATTTAACAACAACTGCTTTGTGTTCTGGGTAGGATTCTTTCTTATACCTACTGAAGATCTCTGGTATTACCTGGAATAGAGTTCTATAAGTGGGGGAAGAACAAAATCAAGAAAGCCAACCTATTTGTTGTTACAGAAGGTTACATAAACAGGGCTTCCAGTGCTGAACTGAAGAACACAGGCAGGTTGATAAAGATTAGCTGTGGGGAAAATGCTGTCTGCGCATACATGCAACTCCTTTTTTTTTTAAGATAATCTTTATTGGTTTTCCATAAAATACATATAATGTAAAAGAAAAAAAGACCCCCCCCCCAAAAAAAAAAAAAGAATTTACTGAGCAGGTAAAGTATCAGGATAAAGAGTAGAAAGAAAAATGGGGGGGTAGCAAAATAGTTAAAGTAAAAAAAAAGTGTCTGGTTTCTTTCCATCAAGGTGTTCCTTTTTACCAAGTACCCATATCCACCTTGTTCCGGTGGCTATTGGGTTCATATTGAGTGTATAGTGAAGAAATAGAAATAAAGAGTACACAGTGAGGGGGGGGGGTTTTATTGTGGATGTGGAGTTGACTTCCTGGTATCCTCTAGGAGGTTCTTTCCTCTTCCTTCTCTTCTTCTTCCTCCTCCTCTTCTTCTTCTTCTTCATCGGTTTTCCTTCTTTTGTATCTTGCTCACCCCTGCTTTTTATTTTCCATCTACATGCAACTCCTAAAGCACCCCCCCCCCCCCAATTTTTGGAAGGCAAAAAAGTACTCAACATGCTGACCATGCCCTTAAGGGAATGTGGTGGGGCTGGGGCTGTGTTAGTTCCTGGTAGAGTTTTCTTTTTTCTCCTAGAACTGAAAGTTAAATCAGATTCACTTCCTGCTTCAGAAAAAGGCCTCTCCTTGGCCTAAAAGAACCCATAAGGAGTTTGTCCCCATGCCCATTAAAGGGTACACAGGATATTTCAAGTTTAAATAAAGTAATAGGATAAACATTAAAAATTGGAGGAAGGTGGAGGAGATGCAGCCATGTGAGATTCATTGGGACCCTAGGCAGATGTCAGACTTCAGGTGGTTAACCATCCTAATGCAGGAGAAATGTCAAGTAACCTGGACCCAAATTATTTAAGACTTTTAAAACCAATGCAGTTCAGTGGCTAGCCATTTTCATGTTTCAAGGTATAAATTACCAAATACAATTAAAATATTGTTATAGTTGTAAATTTGGATACAAAAGATACAGGTGCTTCTCTTTTTATTTATAGATAGATATTAATTTGTTACTAATTCAGGAATAGGTTTATGAAGAAAGACTTTCAAAAACACATCACCACGATAAGCATGAAATGTTTTGTAATCCTGGTAAAAAAAGTACCAATAAGCCCTAAATGGTTCCGGCCCAGCTTACCTGTCCGAACATATGAACCAGCTAGGAGTTTAAGATTATCTGGGGAGACCCTGCTCTAGGTCTCGCCTCCTTCGCGGATGCGATTGTCAGGAACGATAGACAGGGCCTTCTCAGCAATGGTCCCTCAGCTATGGAACGCTCTCCCTAGGGATATCAGATCGGCCCCCTCCCCCCTAACATTTTGAACAAGAGTTAAAGCCTGGCTTTTTGAGAAACAGGAAATTTATTTATTTATTTTGCACATTTCTACCCCGCCCTTCTCAACCCCCGAGGGGGGACTCAGGGCGGCTTACAAAAGGCACAATTCGATGCCAACACAAACATAAGATAAAAACA